TCACTCAAAATACAGCAGGTGAGAAAAAGATAATACTTGAGGGCTAAAAGTTTTCCCATTTTGGTGATTTCTGTTCTTTGGAAAAAGGACACACTCAACAACTACCTGGAAATATGCTTCACAACAAATATGGAGTCTACAAAGCACAATTCCTGAGAGTGGAAGAAGGAAATACAAGCACTAAAACACATGAGCAATGTCTGAAGAATGCCGATGAAGAGGGAAGCAACAACTGAGGCCAAGTATCCCAATTCCTTAAAACACAAACAAAACCATTCCCCTTAATTTAGAAATCAAGGAGTCTAAGAGCCTGGCAAGGACAGCCCCTCGACCAGCACTTCTCAAACTATCTTTCAGAAAGCAAGGCAAGTTTCTAAAGCTCCATGTCAATGCCTAAGCATGTAAGCGGCCCCAACTTCTCAAAGAGCACAGCAGGCAGGCCCCAGCACAGCCACGTGGGAGGTCTGGTCTACCACGATGCTGGGACCAGTGACTGGTGATAGCATGAGCCAGCAATTCAACCTCTCATTTAACATTATGTGGCATTATTTCCCTCTCCTAATTTACTAGATTTCAGGATGGAAAAATCCATTCCATAATTTAACCTGCAACTTTCTGGTCCTCCATTAGCATTGCTGTTGAAAGACACTTTTGTATCTCAAATGGCTGTCTAGAGATACCTTGGAATTCAACCTTTTTTAGATTTTCTGAAAAGTCTGAAGACAATTCCTTCTCAGCCGATAGGAGGAGGAATCTGGTACCTTTAAAGTTCTGTAAAAGTCTACAGTTACTACAAATGCAAAAGAAAAATAGTTTTAAAAAAGCATTTAGTGTTAGTCATCATTGTTTTCTCCCATAGCAAATCTATAAGGCCATATATGCCCTAAGAGCAGTCAGGGCTACATTTTGAGTAATGTGAGAAACTGCGAAGCAGTTATACATTAATTGCGAGCACTGACATAGTTACTGTGGTCCTGACATCCACCCTTCTACAGAGCAGTGTGTAAACATCTAGGGCAACAAAAGTTGACAACACTGGCAACAACAGTATAGGCTTTAAAGCTTTTTGTTGAAAAAATCATTTACTACAATGAAACCTTGTAAAAGTTCAACATACAAAATGGACAGACCTGTACATATCATATATCTGATAAGGGACTGAGGTCCAGAATATATAAAGGATACCTTCAACTCAATGACAAAAAGACAAACAATCCAATTTTTTTTTAATGGGAAAAGGACTTGAGTAAACATCGCTCCAAAGACACACAAATGCCAATAAACACATGAGATGCTCAACATCACTAATCACTAGGGAAATGCCAAGCACACTCACATGACATACTATTTTATACCATCAGGACAGCTATTAGAACACACAGTAACACCTGTGCTGGTGAGGATTTGGAGAAACGGGAACCCTGTGCACTGCTGGGAAGAAGGCTGTGGAAAACAACACAGTGGTTCCTCAAATTATTAAATACTGAATCATCATATGACCCAGCAACTCCATTTCACATATATGCCAAAGAATGAAAAGTAGGGACTCAAAAGATCATGTGCACACCCATGTTCAGAGCAGCATTACCCACACAGCCAAAAGGTGAAAACAACCCAAAAGGCCATTGACAGATGAATGAATAAACAAAATGAATATATGTACCATGGAATATTATTCAGCCTTAAAAAGTACAGAAATTCTCATGTAATTGTAGATTAATGATACCAAAAAAAAAAAGCATGGAAATTCTTATACATACATGGATAAACTTTGAAAACATTATGCTAAAAGAAATAGACCAGACACAAAAAGGCAAACACTGTGTGACCCTCTTTGAGGTGATACCCAGATTAATGAAACTTTCTGAGGCGAAGCAGAACGGTGGTTGCCAGGGGCCGAGGTGGGCAAGTGAAGCATTAGTCCTGAATGTGAACAGAGCTTCGGTGGGGAGATGAAAATCCTCTGAAGATGGAGGCGGTGGTAGCCACACAACAACATGACTGCTTAATGCCACTGAGCTGGAGACTGGAAAAATGGGTAAAAGGGCAGATTGTATGGCATGTATAATTTACAAAAGAAAAGGAAAAAAGGACAGAGCTAGAGCAGTTCCAGTCAAAGCAGAGGCCAGGCGGGGGGTACCACTGCATCCCCCCATGGCCTCCTCCCCTTCAAGGCCCATGCCCCAGAACAGCCCTGCAGGCACTGCAGGCTGCCCACTTGAAAGCCTAGGCTCTGAGGCTGCTTTGTTAACTAACAGTTGGCTCTGTGGAATCACAGAGCTGAGTGTCTGTAGGAGGCTAGATCCCCTCCAGTGCCAGGGGAGCACCTTAATTAATGCAGACCAGTGCCCCTTAAACATTGTGTTCTCAGGATCCCTTCACACTCCTAAATACTACTGGGAACATTCCTCAGTGTTTCTGCTTATATGGGTTATATTTATCAATATTTATCACATTAGAAATTAAAAATGAGAAAAATTTTAGACCAGAGAATACACACTCCCTTAGTTGCCAGAGTGGTGACACCACCATGTACTGTGTAAGCTCTTGCCAGCTCCACTCCGCAGCATCAGTGAGAGAATCAGTGAAAATGCAAGAATCTCTTAGCATTATTATGAAAGTACTTTTGCCCTTGTGACCCTCCCAAAAGGATCTCAGGGATGCCCAAAAGTTCCCAAGCCACATTCTGACAATGGCTGATATAGACCAGCCAGGGTATTTCCAAGTGCTCTTACAGCTGTAAGAAGGGTCAATGTTACGCATCTCTGGACTATGAGAACTGAGCTTTGGCTGGAGGTTTTCTGTGTTTGTCTCTATGTTAAATAAATTCATGTTTTTCCATATTAAACACTACGCTCTTCCTGTAGTACCAAGAATGGCAGTAGTCACCTTGGGACCCAAGAGCACCTAAGTCTGAGAGGACCAGCAAACACACTGCTCACGGCAGAGCAGAAAGGCGGACCTGGGCCTGCCCACTGGCAGGGTGAAGGTGGTCAAGCGGCCAGCCAGACCATAACCTACTCCAAGCGGCAATGTAGTAACAAAAAGCACTATTTTCTTTTCACTGAAGTCACTTCTCACATGAAATAAACACCAGAGATTTATGGACAGAATCCTACAAATCATACTATTTATGGAAAAAGAAAAAGAGACAAATACCTAGCCTCTAATCAATGTCATCAACTAGGGACCTTGTCAGAAAATATTTAAAACCTCCAGAAATATAATCAAGCATGAAATTAAGAAATTCATGTTCAACAATGCTTAAGCTTGACAACATTCTTCCTCTTTCTTTCCGAAAGCCTGATACCAATTATTTTTTATTTACTGACCAGCAATGTTTCTTTGCTTCATTATTTTCAGAAAGACGGGTCAATTTGCCCCTGTGTTTGTGGCTTTTTTTTAAAAAGTCACATTAAAATATTCTTGTTCCCACAGAAAGTGCCTATTTTTAAAGAAACAAGGGATAGATTTCCCCCCTTAAAAAGAATGAGTCTGTAAGGAAGCTCCCCTTGGAGGAGCTGGTTTTTCTGTTGAGTCTGCAGTGTTTTGCCTCTGAAAGTCTAACCAAAACCACAGACTTGACATTTGCAGATAATTTCAGACAAACCTCAGGTATAAACAAAACCTGGGTCTAAGGAATCAAAGGAGGCCACAGCAATCCAGGTGAGAGTATACATGCTCTTCTGACAACTCTGCAAAGAACTGAGAAGTTTAATCTAGCAGACAACTATCTCAGGAGTTACCGAACTCCGTTCTCCCATCCATATTCCCAGCCACGTGGGAACAAGAGCTGCACCAGGACCCAGCTTCTCACTGTCAGCACCCCTTCACGACAGTGCTGGGCTCAGAGCTGCTAAGACAGATACCCTTGACCTTGTCTCCATCAGAGCACCAAAGAGCTGGCACTGGCCCCAAAACACTGGTCTACCCACAAACATTCTGTTAGACACAGTCAGAAATTAGAATACATTCTGGTAAAATGTAATGCATTGCCTTATAAATAATTAACTTTCCTTACATTCTTGTTGTCAACTCACTTATCTGACAGCAAAACTATGGACTTTTAGTGAGACCAGTTAGAAAAATGGATGAAGGAAAACGTTAGATAGTAAAATATTACAGATCCTCTTGTCACTGGTGATGTGGCTCCAAGTTATTTCTGCCTCTTTCTACCTGTGGTTCTCTTCATAATTTATTATTAAATAATAAAAAATAAAAAGACCCACACATTTACTGGGTGCCTGCTTTATGGCAGAAACTCTGAAAAACATTGCAAATAGAAAGATGACAGTACTCCTTGCTCTCAAGCAACCTGTGGCTGAGTAAACCAGGCTCCATGAACAGACAAAACATGAGCCCTTGTGGGACCATGGGCTGTGGCGGGAGTGTCACCCAGCACGGGGGTGTCAGATGCTTTAGTTGTGTCAGAAATGACACAGAGCTAAGCAAGATCATGAAGTTGAGCAGAAGTGAGCCAGGCAAAACCTCAAAATCAAACACGCAGTGCTGCCATACCGCCTGAGAAAGGCAAGTTGGTCCCTGTTTCTCAAACCATAAGAAAAAACTGTTGTGAGCTTCCAGGGTTGTCTAAAATCATCTTTGTTCTGTTAAATAAACCAAACATGTGATAAAATGATTTATAAGACATAGATAATTGGTCAGTCAGGTCACCAAATATATTTCTCAGATATATTTGTTCTCTATCCACAGTTCCTGGAAACACTGCAGAGCCACAGAAGTGAAATGGATGTCTTGTCACTCAGGAAGGTCACTTGGATTTTCAGGGTCTAGTTGCCAGGAGGACCAAATCTGAGTAGAGGGGGGAGCATGAGCACTCCTTCCCCCAGGCTCCCAGGAAGGGAGTGGGAAGGGGGCTGGAGGCTGAATCAGCCACTGGCCAATGGCTTAATGTCACTGAGCTGTAAGACTAGCGCCACAGGACTAGTAAATCATAAAAACCCACGAGAACAGCATTTGGAACCTTTTTTATTATTTACCTGTTCAGAAAGCTTCTATACTTGGGGAACCAGATGCTTCCACATGCCTCTGAGCCAGGCTCCAAGCTCCACAAAGACGGATGCCCCTTTATTCAGGACCTTGACCTGTGTATCTCTTCATCTGGCTGTTGGCTTGTATCCTTAATGAGATCCTTCATTAAATCGATAACTGTAAGAGTTTTCCTGGAGGGCGGAGCCAACATGGCAGCATGAGTAGGACAGTGGGAATCTCCTCCCAAAAACATATATATTTTTGAAAATACAACAAATACAACTAATCCTAAAAGAGAGACCAGAAGACACAGGACAAAAGCCAGACTACATCCACTCGTGCAAGAGCCCAGCGCTTGGTGAAAGGGATAAGATACAAGCCCCGGCCCGGCGGGACCCGAGCACGCCTCCCCCCAGCTCCCGGCGGGAGGGAGGGGGAGGCCAGGACTGCTAAACACCCAGCCCCAGCCACCCGCACCAGAGCGCAGACACAGTGCATGCATGGAGGGCTAGAAACTAGAGAAATAGGGCAGCAAGATCTCTGAGCAGGTTCCGAAACTGATGCCCCGGTGACAAAGAAAAGCGAGTGCTTCTTGAAAGTCTTAAAGGGACAGGGACATAACAGCTGGATGGAAACAACAAAGGTCACAGTCCAGTGGCTGGAAATTACAGGGAAAACCAGGCGCACTAACCCCCTGGGCAACAGCTCTGAGACCCCTCACGGAGGTAAACAGCCAAACAACCCCCCCCCCGTCCATTACCCCTCCGGGCGCTGCAAAAGCAGAGAAGTAGCCTAAGGCAGGCCCCGCCACCTCAGAAAGGGAGTTTTCTCCATATCGGCCAGGCAAGACACAAAGACCCAGTCTACACGCAATAACCCAACACAAGCCACTAGGGGTCGCAGTTTTCCCAGTAAAGAAAGGCCAGTAGCAAGTGAAAAGTTTGTCCCTCCCAGCTGACAGTCAATAGCACCTGTCAACATGAAAAGGCAAAATATGATCCAGACAAGAATAACGCACACAGCTTCGGCATCTGCTACATCTTCTCCTGAGAAGGAACCTGGGGAGATAGATTTAGCCAGTCTTCCTGAAAAAGAATTCAAAACAAAAGTCATAACCATGCTGATGGACTTGCAGAGAAATATGCAAGAACTAAGGAAGGAGAATACAGAAATAAAACAAGCTCTGGAAGGACTTCACAACAGAATGGACAAGATGCAAGAGACCATTAAGGGACTAGAAAACAGAGAACAGGAACGCAGAGAAGCTAATGCAGAGAGAGATAAAAGGATCTCCAGGAATGAAAGAATTCTAGGAGAGCTGAGTGACCAATTGAAAAGGAACAATATACGCATTATAGGGGTACCAGAAGAAAAAGAGAGAAAAAGGGATAGAAAGTGTCTTTGAAGAAATAATTGCCGAAAACTTCCCCAAAAGAGGGGAAGAAATAGCCTCTCAGACCACAGAGGTACACAGAACTCCCATGACAAGGGATCCAAGGAGGGCAACACCAAGACACATAATAATTAAAATGGCAAAGAT